TTGTTTTTTCTTACAGAATATCTCTGTAATATTTGTAAACACACATCTGTTTAGCCAGCCAATTAATGTTAAACCAATGTTTGGACTTAGTACACATCTGCTATAAACATGAGTAATGCATAGCATTCGCAGTAAAAATACTGATTAGTATGAATTAATCCATCTGATATGTGTATTAAAAGGCATTTAAATATGTTGTTTTAAGAAGTTCTCATAACCCTGGATGCCATATTTAAAAACAAACATCAGTACGCAATGTTTTGCAGGCTCTTAAACAAATAATCTCGCTTTGATTTAAATAACATTTATTTTACATGACCAAACACAATAAATAACGTAATATACAAAGCTTTATAATTATTGCACATTTGTAAAATATTTTACAGTGAGTTCGTACAGCCAGCAATATTTAAAGCACAAAGACTTTATTTACAGTTTCATATAATAACCAGGTCCAAAGGACCTAACATAAAACGAATTTATGTTAATTTTACCAACCAGCGTCCTCAGCGATCATTTAATAGACATATATCTATATTTTGGAAAAATGTAAACATTATTGCCAAAATCGTCGTATATACATCCCATACTTGTGTTATCATAACAAACGATTCCAACGATCGAAAAGGTTAAGCTGGTAAAAGAGTGCTACGTTTTGGTCTAGTTTCTTTAGCCTTAAATTATATATTAATAAAAAAATTTCAATGTAAACTCAGTGAACAACAGCTGGTATAATCGATATTTTTACATAAGTAGTCTTCCTATTCGTTCTTTACAAAATGAGAAATCTGTGGGTTAGGTGTCTTCTACCGTGCTTTAAAGTTCTCTACCCAGAAAATGTACATGTCTTGTCAGGAATCCGCTCCAGAAGCCTGGGGATATTTCTCCTTTGCCCTTCCCTACCCCCGCCCAAGAAATCTGTCCCGTTGGACAAAAAAAAACCCTACGATTTATGTTCACTGAACAAAACAGCATAGCCTTTAAAATTATTTCCTGAAAGTTCATTATTAGAATATGAAAAAATCCAGTGTCTTAAAAATAGAAGTATTTCAGGACACTTATTCGAAATATATAATAGAGAATTTTTCTTTTTCTTTTTTCTTTTTTCTTTTTCTCTTTTTCTTTTTCTTTTTTTTTTTTTTTCTGTGTGAGAGTGTACGTGTGTGTGTATTCACATTCACACAGGGCCTAAACAAGCAATAGCAAGTTAGATGAGGGCTTCAACTCTTCAGAAAAATCTCATTATGTGAAGAGTGAAGTGGCTCTGTAGGGAGCATTATGGAAATATCTGGGTTTGATTTAATGAGGCTCTTCACATTGGTGGAATATCAACTTAACAGAGAAAAGTCTACCCGGGGCGTCCAAGTTACCAAAATGAAAATTGGCAATTGAGATGATAAGAAAGTGGCTTTCTTGTGCGAAATCACTTCAGGTAACAGAGATAACATTAAATAACATACATTCTATGCACCAAGAACAATGTTTTATGTACCAAGTCTCTTATCTGTCTCTTCTAATGACTTCCCTTAGCGGGTTGTTAGTACTTGACAGCAGGTCTCTGTGCGGGGAACTTTTTTCCAATTCCACATTCAAAGGAGGTCCATCAGAGAACATGATTGGCAATTTTCGTCATAATCTGCACATTATTAGCATCAAAATTGACATGGCAGTAACACTGGTGGTTTTTGATGTGCCTTTCTTCAAGTTCAAGGAAGTCCCTCCAGTAGCAGTGGTTTGGTATAGCAGGTCTCAGTTACCCAGTGGTGGCTATTCAGAGGCAAAGGCGCGATAGAGATGTGTGAGAAATAAATCCAAGAGCCGTTTTACCGAGAGGAGAGAAAGACGCTATGGAAAAGAATTAAATTTAGAAAAGTGTCTGGAAGGTAAATGCTTCAGGACGTCAACCTACACCTAGAGAGATTCAAGTATTTCCCAGATAGCGTGGATTATGGTAGTTAGAAAGCGTGAGTTTAAAAAAAAAAAATGCCTCTCCCCATGCTGTCAATCTCACACTTCCCTTCCCGTCACCGGCCCGGCCGCGGCAGCCTCATTAGCTACCTCTTGTCGTCCAGAAATACACGAGACATTGCCCATTTAGTCGAACTCCAACCGAAATAATAATAATTAAAACAAACCAAACCAAACTGACCAAAAAAAAAAAAAAAAAGCCAGAACACATTCCCTTCCGCCGTCTCCCCCTCCCCGCACCCGCCCGGCCCGGCGGCCCTCAGCCCCGCGGAGCCCGGCGCCGTTAGCGCCCGCGGCAGCGCGCACCACGGGGGGCGCAAGATCCGCGTAGGCGGCTCTCCCCGCCGGCGCCCCGCGCCCCTCCGCGGCGGGGCGGGCAGCAATAAAAAAATAGACGGAACTTTTTCGGCCGAGCCCGGGGGCGCCCCCGGACCCGGTCCTCTGTGTGTGTGTATGTGTCACCCCCCTCCCGTACCCCCCCTACAAAACGCCCCCCGCCCCCGGGCCCGGGCCGGGGTAGTTATCTGGTGCG